GTTGTTGCACGGTATTATTGTTAGCTGTTTTGCGGTGCACGGTATTATTGTTAGCCTATATCAAATTCAAAACAAACCCATTTTGATGACTCAGGCAAAAAAATGAAAAATATGAAATATTTAATCTATCATTATATCAATATATCAAAATATGAAATATTTTGCCGTGGTGATGAAGATTAAGCTATTGAAAAACAGTACAGGTAACACTGCAGTCTATGCTGGTTCTTAAAGCAAAAACAATATGCGCTAAATTCACCTTGGGATCATCTGATTGAAAGTAATAGCAAATATGGTCAACTAAAGTTAAGTCAGAAATTAGAAAAGCATTATTTGTTTGCATATCTCATCTGGTTATTTGTTAACTTATAATACAGTGACATCCGTATGCTTTAAGTGTCACTCATGGGGCTATTGTATCTTATTTAGGTTTGAATAAAATAAGGTTTTATAATGTAATGATGAGAAACAGTAGCTATGTGGGCACCACTGAGTGAGTATGTGGGTTTGGCTCTCGCTCCAGTGTTCTTAAAGACCTGCAATAACCCAGAAGAAAGCATCTCCTTTAATTAGTCGTGCTGCTTTATCCAAACTGCTCACACCCACAAGAGCCGTGAGAGCTCATAGAGAGACCACCACCTCCTCCTCCTCCATCCTGCCGCATATGCTGCCTAATGAGCCCCCCTACCGTGATCTTATCCCTGCTTCTGAAAATCAGATGCTCAATGCAGGCAATGGGTTGCAAATCACCAAACAGAAGAAATTCTATTTGTGGTAAATGGGCTTAGAGATGCCGGACGTGACTAAACAAGCCTGGTTATTGGGAACAGAAAAAGGCATGACTCTTTGTAGTGCAGGGACTGTGGGTGTAGAAAGGGGTTTCATTAAATTCTGTCTGCCAGCACGTTATTAGATCTGAGCCGGTTTGAGGCTATTGGTGTTGAGACTTATCACTATGGCTCAAAGAGGAGCTTTACTGCAAAAGTAGACCGCATAGGCTTGTATAGATAAGTCGGACTGTATCTACTGTAGCTGCATTGCTAGAAATGCTGCCACGTGGATTAGGTTGATGTGGCAATGCATGAAATGACAGTATCATTACAGCGTCAAAGGTCAGGCATTCCTCTTTTCCCAGACTACAAAAGAGCTGTCCTGATTTGTGCGCACATATTCAGCAGGTTAGTCCAGAAGTGTTGTGTGTGATGTGTCCTCAACAATGCACCTCATGCATAATTCAGGTAGAATATGCAAAAACTGTAGGCAGGGTTCACTTTGCTATTAAATAACACCAGGATGAAATATTTAACACACCATAATGACACTCCTGGAAGTCTGTTCCCATGCAGAGAAGGCAAAAATTTACAGTTTTTACTTGTTTCTTGTAGTTTCCTGCTTCTCAGATCTTTCCTTTAAGATGTCATACTAGAAATGTCATGTGAAGACATTTGGACTGTGCTCAGATTTGCCAAGATACAAAAGTTTGCAATCAAAAGTCAGAGATTTTAGTATGATTTTAGTATGTAATTTAATTTATTTTTCATTTTATTCTGTTATTGTATATAAACATTTATTTATTTATTTCTGCTAAGGAAATTTAGGAGTAACATCTGACAAGTTGATATTCAAATGAAATGTAATGAATTCTTGCATATTAAATAGCCTCTTAGTAGCTTCTGTTGTTATAAATTTCTTCTGCATTGTTTAAAAAAAAAAAAGTATATGAATTGAATTGTGTGTAATGCAAAACAATTATACATGTTTTGTGTATTATTATTATTATTATAAATATAATTTTCTATACAAAATCAATTATACCTATCTATGAGGTTTCAGAAATAATATAAATTACAAAATAAATGCAAATCTAAATGTTTTCATTTCATTGCAGAAATGAAAAGAGCAATTGGTATAAACCATTTTCATCTATTGTCCTTATTTAAAAATTGGGAAAATAAATTTAATATATTGATCTTGGTGAAATCCACTTGAACTGTTATAGGATTCTCTCTCCTGTCCAGAGGCAATAACAGGGAAATCTCCTCTACATATGATCTCAAATCACTTATTGATCTATAAACTAGAAAAAAATATATCTTGAGAGATGCTTTCATTATCTTTGTGCACTAAAACAATCATTCAAAGGTAACCAATAATCACAATGCTTCAGAACAAATAGATGCCTGAATGACTCTGATACTCTAGAGAAGCAAATTTCCTGCTTTATCAAAATGTCTATCAGTGTAATGATGATGGTATTATAGTTGCTAATCCATATGGCGTCAAGATTGGATTTCTAAAGTAATTATGTCTGCTGCTTTGATTTTGGCTTTGCATTGAGAAGACATGCTGAACTGCTGTACTGTTCTAGGGTCAGAAAAAATTGTTGTTTGAATATGTACTTAACTTGAAATTTAATCTTTAATGCTTTGATTTCAGTAATTACGTTTCACAGCATGACAGATGTTATAACTGCCCCTTGAGCTGCTCTGTGACCACATTTCCGTATCTCCATAACAAGCAAGGACTCAGAGAGAAAGCGTATTAGTCACAGTTTATAGAGAACCAAGGAGCATTTACTTCAGGGAGGCATTTATAAATGGGATGAGGCATTAAATAGGTCAACATTTCATCCTGGGCTATTTATTTAGTGTGAATATGTGTAGTCCAGTTATTTGAAGATATTTCATAATGCAAGGATGTTTCGCAAGGATGCATTAAATTAATCAAAAGTGACATTAAATACATAAAGTTAAGAAAGATTTCTGTTTCAAATGAATGCTGTTCAAAAGAACAAAGTCCGAAAAAATAAAAAAATCAAACAAACCCAGAGTAATGATGCATCACAGGAATATGTTACATTTTAAAACAATTTTAAATTTTAATAACATTTCACAATATTATAATTTTTACAGTATTTTTTGGAGCAAATAAATGCAGCCTTGGTGTCCTGAATATCTGTGTTGTGAGTCAAGTATGTCTGACCATTGTGTCTAGACTGCAAAGGAATGGTGAAAGATCACTTTTGCAGTCTTTAGATGGGCTTCTAGTATCACACTCCAAGTTTGAGTTGGAAGGAAACCCAAGATTTATCGCCCGTCTTTCTGCAGAGCTCCAACAATCACTTGTGTGTTCTAGTCCACTAATCTGTAATTACATTCAGTCAATGATGGTTTTACTGAGCACAAGCTTATAAACACGGCATTAGGTTTGATGTCTATTATGCGTGTATCATGTGAGACACATATGGAAGGGTACATAGGTTATATTAGATGATTTATTACATTATTTATACATAGTTGGAGAATGAGTTTCAAGTAACAAGTAAATGTTCAGCTATTAGATTTATCTAACATTTGGTGGATGCGCAGTCTGTTTATCCAGATGTATGGACTATACACAACACTTTTTGTAGACTGTGCTATTATTATGCTCTATTATTTAGAGGAAGTTTTTATGTAAATATAAGTTCCTCAAACTAAACTTCAGCTGAAGTTACTTGGCGTACCTTTTCCTTAATCTTGCAACTGCATTTTGCAGCATTATTGAGTTTTAATGCTTGCCTGGTGTCTCCACATATTTGACTGTGAAATATTAAAGAGTTATGAATAACTCTCTAAGTAGCACACAGTTCTGTCAAAAATGGTATAAATGGCATAAACATGTTAAAGTTTGGGGTGTTTATAGTTTCAAAAAGTTCCACTTGAAACGGCAAGGTGCTCTTATAGGAGAAGTGTTCAGAAAGGAGATGCAAACTTTCCATCTGTCAACCCTTGACAAAGCCATAAACCTACTTAAATAGCTTGTTCTCCCTCAAGCAGAATGTTGTTTTGTTCACAAAAACATTGGTTGTGGTGTTACTCGCAGAGAGGTTGTTGCTGTGCAACATGCCACTTTGATATGTTGTATTACTGAGCAGATGTTGTTGTATTTGTGTGCAGGTTAAAGTGATGGTACGCGTATGTCCTTCATCGCCCGTCAGCGCAGCAGAGTCCAGCTCGTTCCTGAAGGTCGATTCTCGTAAGAAGCAGGTGACCATCATGGATCCAGCAGTTAATTCTCAGCAGAATCAAACTCAGAAATGTGGCAGCTCCAACCAGGTTCCTCCAAAGATGTTTGCATTTGATGCGGCCTTCTCCCATGATGCCTCTCAGGTGAGAGATAGTTACTACTTTTAAAGAGCAGGTCATATGGTATTTTAAAGTGTCCTAATATTGTGTTGGAGTCCCCGACAACAGGTTTAAATGCATCCAAGGTCATAAAACATTGTAATTTTCTCAGAATATACATTTAATATTAGAATAATTTTTCAATGATGTCGAAACGATTCGTTCGAAGCAGTTCTGAGCTTAAGGTCTGTAAACCCCTCCCTTCCATAAGCCTACTCTGCTCTGATTGGTCAGCTGGCCAAGTCTGTTGTGATTGGTCTTTCCGTATACAATGCGTGTCGGAAACGAAACACCTATTACAATAATTATTTTTTTGCTCCGGAGGGTTACTTGTAAACAAAGATGCTATAAGGTTACAAAAATAGCATCGATATTGCCTTATCAATTCGAGCCCGAGTCCGAGGATGATACCGATGCAGTCGCTCAACGGAAACTCCATCGCAAGCACGACTTGATCAGGACGTTTCTCAGTGGTAAGTTTAAACTTTGTATGTGGTACTTTACGGGATATGACAGCAGATTTATTGCATTAATTATTATTATTTACTTATTTGAGGTGCACGTGTGGGAACTGTGTTAGTATGCCCAGTAAGGCTGAAAACACAGCGTCTTCTCGACATGATGTAAACACACTAACTAGCAGAAGTGTTTGTGGGCAGGTCAGAGTGTTCATACTTCACGGGCAGGCGGGGATTATGTAAAAGTATTATCTTGTGATGTATATAGGTAACAGACAGAAGATACAAAAATATGACGACTCGTTAAGTCGGTTCAGAGTCGACTCTTTCTTTTGAGAAACAATATCTTTATTTATCATGCCCTTTTTGATTAACATCCATATGACCTGCTCTTTAAAGTTTGTGGTAACCATTAAACATGCATTGTGTAATTTCTGCCACTAGTGTCACCAAATAGAATTGCAAAAACAATCGTTTCATTGTACAGCAGTGTTGGGCAGTAACGCGTTACTGTAATTTGATTACTTTTTTAGTAACGGAGTAATTTAATGCGTTATAATTTTCAAAATAGAAATTAGTGTTTGCAGCGTTGAGCAATGCAGTGCTGAAATGTGCGTGCTCACGAATCCTCTCATTATAACACACGAATTGTAGACACTATGAACAGAGATTTGTGAGATTGCGATGAACTGAGATGTCTTTTAGAGATTATAAATGCAGCGCTCTTTGCTGGCATTCTGCCTAACCATGCACGCAGCAGCTTGCTTTAGTTAAAAATAACAGTGTTCTGTGAATGTTGATGCTTTAATAACAGATATTTATCGGGAGCATGTATGCTGGGATTTCATAAATTTAATGGAGAAAAAAGTAATGTAACTAGTAATGTAACTAATTACTAATTACTTTTGAAATAAAGTAATCAGAACAGTAACGTGATTACTTTTAAAAGGAGTAATCAGTAATTTGATTACATTTTCAGAGTAACTTGCCCAACACTGTTGTACAAATCAACAATATGTTGTTAATACAGGGACAGTCCCTCTGGAGCAGCCTGAGGTTCCTCACAATGCTGATTAAGGCTAAAGGCAAAATGGCAGTTGTTTATATGTCACCCCTTATGGGATTTGTAAATACAAGGTTACCAACCCAGATCTTTAACCACAAAGCATGAATGGGTAGTTGATAAAACAAGGACAGAAGATTTTTTGTTTGTTTGTTTGTTTTTTTGCACATGTTTTGTCTTAATGTCCAAGTAAAATATCTTTAAAAAATAATTTACATTAAAATGTATTCATTTAGCAGACACTTTTATTCAAAATGATTTTTACATGAAATAGCAAAAAATAAAATTAAGTGAAAAAACTGCTTTATCACACTTTTATCAAAGTTACAGTACATTCTCAAAAAAAAACAAGTCTTCTCAAGTAAATTTATTTTGTTTATATATTTTAGATAATTTTTATCGAAAACAAGTTAGAAAAAAAACCAATCAAAAATCCTTTATTTAATTTAAGTCATGCATTTTTTTTTTCTTTTAGTTATTTTTGCAGTGCTTGAATTTGATTGGCTGTTCTCTGTTTCCTGGCAGGCAGAGGTTTGTGCAGGAACTGTGGCTGAGGTCATCCAGTCTGTAGTCAATGGAGCAGACGGCTGTGTATTTTGTTTCGGACACTCCAAACTAGGTAAGAGACAATTTGAGATTAGTGTCTTTTTAATAAATCAGCATACTATATTTCAGCATCTCTTTAATATATCAGCCCATCACAAAGAAAAGTGCTTCAATTGGCCTTTACTAATACCTTGCAAGTGCCTTTTCAGGCAGAAATTTTTCTTGCCTTTGTAATAAACATCAGACTGTCATAATGTAATGTTACTATCTCCATCTCTCAGATGTGTTTCTGTCAGGACCACTATCGTCAAAGATGATTGACAATTAGCATACAGTTTGGATTGGCGGTATGGTTCCGTTCTGGGCAAGAACTCCCTGCGCATCCATGCAGCCTAGCATGGATGAGAGCAGGGAGAGCAGTGATAACCCCCCCAGCGTAAACAGAACAGAACCAACATAAATGTATTGCAGATATCATTAAAGTTCAATAATGTTATGTACACATTTTAGAATTAGTCTGATTCAAAGGAGAATCAGAAGGCTGAATCCCGACTGACAGAGGAGGAGTTGGGGATGGAGGAGGGTAATTAGCTATTGAGCAATGCGAAAACTGCTGATAATACTGAGGGACCTTATATATGAATGCTTAGATAGGTGTCGTATTCCCATAGGTTGATGGGGATCAGCTGAGAGTCAGCTGATGCAAGCTTGACTAATGTGACCTGCCAGAACTAACGCTACGCTAGATTTTATGTTCAGTAACATACTCAACCGTTTACATCCTGTGAATTAGATGGAATTAGTTTCATAGCACACATGGCAGACTACAAGATGATCTCACCCTATTTTGCCGGCTTTGTCCATTGTTGTTTCTGGAAGATTAGTGTAAAAATTAACCAGCCGTTTGCTTAGAAAACAATGGAAAAATGCCACTGTGGTTGCTGGTCAGTGATTTGATGACAGCGTGTAATGCCTCAGATGCCTTGTTTCCATTAACCTTTACTTGAAAACCAAAGACCGGCTCATACATCATTTTACGGTGATTTAATTGGTCAGCCGCGCAAAGCAAAATAACTAGCCATAATAACCCCGAGACTGGTGTGTTAGTGCTTTGAAAGTAATTACCTTGGACATTTGGCTTGAAAAGGTGGTTGTATAAAACAAGAAACAAAAGAATCATGGTGACCTCGAGTGGTGCAACGAGCCAACCCCTGGTCACCATTGTGCTTAAGTGCATGAATACCTAAGATGCAATCTTTTGAGATGTATCAGGCTTGAACACAGAGATTTGTTTTTGACCTTCAAATCAACTAGAGAGCGAAATATTAATCTTACATAATACTCCCTGACCTCTAGATCCTGTATGTCATGCTGGTTGTGAGGATGCACAGGTCCGTATGGTGAACATTAAAATACTGTAGCAGTATTCTGGCATGAAGCTTTATCTCCTGTCCTGAAACTGCTTGATCAGCCCGGAGGCTTATTTTATGCTTTATTGCAATAAGTCAGAATGCATAAAATTGAAGGACAAGTTGAAGCCTGTAATGGATTTGTGTGTATAAAATTTTGAAGAGAGATGCTGTAGTAATTGAGTCTTATAAGCGCTGCCTTCCCATCATGCCACTCTCCATCCAGTCTGATTGAATTACTGACTCTCAGTCCATCTGCGACGGAGCATCCGTCTTATTTTCCACCTGGAAGTAAAAGCCCAGCAACTTTAATTGATGTGAAAGACCATTTTCAGCAGAGCATGTTTGATATGTTACAGTCAGGATATAAAATAAATAATGCAATTAAAAAGAAAACGCATCAAAACAAATAATAAGAAAAAATAAATATAATTAAAAGTACTTCAATTATAAATAATGAATTAGATAAATGAAAATAAATGTAATCATATAACTATGTATGCACTTTTAGTAATGCTTTTTCTATTATTTGTTTTTAGTAGATTTAATGCAGTGTAATCTTGATGACAAATTATATGTTAGCTAGGTGGACAGGTATTTCACATCATAGCTGTATTTGGAAATATAGTAAATATGTAGCATGTATTTTAGCACGCTGTATTGAACCAATCAATATCCAGAAGTGTTTTATTGCCATCTGCAACTAAATGATTACTTTTTTATACCATTGTGTTAGTGTAGTCCTCATAATTTACATTTACCTCTTAAATGTTTTTACTTTCAGTGGTGGAATCAGTATTGTTATTGTAAACTAAAACTAAATCATTTTTTTTCTTTAATTAAAATAAAGCTGAAATTAAATAAAATATAAATATTAGATGAAAACCTAAACTTAAAAACCTTACAATTAACTAAACTAAAATACATTGAAGTACTAAAATTACAACAACAAAAAAATCTAAATAGAAATATTGAAAAATACAAAAAACTAATAAAAACGACAAAAGCACATAAAAATTACTAAAACCAACTAAAATTAAAGTGAAAACTGCAAATATAACAATAAAAGCTCATTTAAAATATGAAAAAAAATGCTATAATAGTATATAAATAATACTAAAATAGTACTGGGTGGGAAAATATTGTAATGGACCAGGATATAAAGGTATATTGATAAAGTTGTTTCATCCTGTAAAGTTTTTGATCCAGTTTTGCCATGAGCAGCTCCACCTGCCACAATAGTACAACACCTTCTTAAACATGAAAGTGCTACTTTTTAGAATTACCATCTTTTTAAAAACAAAGTATGAAAAATCTGCCTCAGGTGTGTCATATTAAATCATGAATAAATGTATTATCTGCTGCATCTGCACCATTGCAGAATTGGCTTGTTTTTTATGAACTGTTGTGATGTTTGAATTGCTGTGCGTATTTGTCCTATTTCAGCAGATATTATCTCTGATTCCTGTTTCTGTTTTCTCTTTCTTGCTCTCTTTCCCACCCAAACTGGAGGAATCCGTCTTTTGAAGTTCAGTCTGATCTGAATGTGTGCTGTGACATATGGCGTTGTTTAGTGGCCCCTTTCATGTCAACAGCACGGTTATTTATGCATGTGACTGTGTTTGAGGGCAATGTCCAGAAATGAATCCAGGGACGCTGCCAATCAACAGGCTGTTGTTCTGGTTCTGGTCCTGCGGGTGAACCTGCGTTTAATGCCCAGTGCTGCCCACACGGCGTATGTGCTTACTCAACCACACTAAGACAATATGCATATGGGAAATGTCAGCAGACTGTCAAACCAAGGGCTTTTCTGGAAATAAAAACCCATTTAAGGCAGACAAAACATTCTTGTGATTAGGCACGGTACATTTTCCGACTATATTTCTAAGCGTGATTATGCTAATCTTGTCGGTTTTCCAGCTTTAATGGATTTTAAATTTTATTGGAATGTGTTTGTCTTGCGTGTGTGTGACATCTGTCACTGTGGTTTATGCCAGAGTGCTGGTCTGCAAGCTAACTATCATATTAGAAAGTGTGAAGTAGACCATACGTACTGGCGTAATGCACCATGGCTTTTAGCACCTGACCTATTTTAACTCTACCGTTTTGAAAGGCCTGCCAATCATCATAAACCAAGAAATGTGATTGTATGCAAAGCGATCCATCGCCAACTCGATTCTCGATCTGGTCGCAGGCAAATCCTACACTATGATCGGCAAGGACGACTCCATGCAGAGTTTAGGGATCATCCCGTGTGCCATCTCCTGGCTCTTCAAACTGATCAACGAGTGCAAGGAAAAGACAGGCGCACGTTTCTCCGTACGAGTGTCAGCTGTGGAGGTCTGGGGAAAAGACGAGAACCTGAAAGATCTGTTGTCGGAGGTGGCGACAGGCAGTTTGCAGGACGGTCAGTCTCCAGGAGTCTACCTCTGCGAGGACCCCATCTGTGGGATGCAGGTAAAATAATCGTTCTGATCATTAATGTTGTTCAAATTTCTTGAATTATACAGTATATTGTTCATGATATATGTGACCCTGGACCACAAAACCAGTCATAAGGGTCAATTTTTTGAAATTGAGATTTATACATCATCTGAAAGCTGAATGAAGAAGCTTTCCATTGATGTATGGTTTGTTAGGACAGGACAATATTTGGTCGAGATACAACTATTTGAAAATCTGGAATCTGAGGGTGCAAAAAAATCAAAATATTGAGAAAATCTCCTTTAAAGTTGTCCAAATGAAGTTCTTAGCAATGCATATTACTAATCAAAAATTAAGTTTTAATATATTTACGGTAAGAAATTTACTAAATATCTTCATGGAACATGATCTCTTTACTTAATATCCTAATGATTTTTGGCATAAAAGAAAAATCTATAATTTTGACCAATACAATGTATTTTTGGCTATTGCTACAAATATACCCCAGCGACTTAAAGACTGGTTTTGTGCTCCAGGGTCACATATGTGCAGTATATTGTTGATTGATATTAAAATACTGTGAAAATCTCAGTATATCCATTTCATTCAAATGTCATTATGACGTAAATAACATAAGTAACATTAAGATGAAGTGTGTAATTTTTTACAATGTTTACATTTCTATCCGATCTTAATATGATACTATAAATCAGCCTTTTTGTTTTTTTCTGAAAAATGTAAAAACTGTGGCACTATAAAAAAAGCAATGTTGTCTCAACCAATGCTGTTGGGTTTGCCGTGGGGTTTAGATACTATTATAGTATAGTAGCTTTTATTTTTATATTTTCAGTTTTCACTTTAATTTTATTTTGTTATGTGCTTATTATTTATTTATTTATAAACATTTCTACATGGCTTTAATTAATTTGAGTACTTAAGCTTATTTATTTCAGGAGTTGCCAAAGCAACATTATTTTATTTTATTTTTTGATTTTTAACAGTTTTGGCTTTAGTTAACAATAACAACACTGTTTAGGGTGGGACTTTCTGTTTGCCTGACCATTGGTAGTGTTTTGACACCTGTTTGAAAACAGTCTATTTTGCTATTCTGTTTGTTAGTGATGTAGAATGATGCCAAAAATTCATGTTTTTCTTTTTATTGCTGATTCTCTCTAAAATGGTAACAAATAACTATTTTGAAATTAGAAAAAAAAGTTTAACAATATTGGCACACTTTTTGCCTTATTCTGGGAATACCCCCAGTGTAAAAACAAAAAAACAAAAAACAAGCATGACAATCAGCTTCCAATAAAGATGGCATTGTTGAGAAAAATGCTAATACATGATGAGAGGATTAGTCGAGCAGAGGCAACCCCTGTCTCTGTAATCCTCAGACATGTGCACTAATCTCATCTTGGACTGATACCTCACAGCAATGGATTGTAATGCCCTCACTTCTCCTGTTCCTGTGACAGTCAACCTTATCACACAGAGCCGGCTTCAGACGTGATACCCAAGGCCGTGCTGACATGATTATTGCCAAATAACAAACAGAAGAATTTCTTTATAGATATTAAGATGTAGCTGAACTGACAGCGTTTTAATGCTTTCTTTTATTTTCTGTAGTATTGTTAATAGTGGTCGACCAATATGGATTTTTTTGAAAGCCAGTGCCAATATCTTACGAGAACAGGGTGGCATAAAACAACAAACAAGCAGATATATACTTTAGACAGAAACTTCTTGTAATCCTATTATAGTATTTTTCACAAAGTCAAAAAGGTCTTGGTGCTGTCAAAGTAAAAGTCTGACTGCTGGCACTCATCAGCCAAACAGTAAAACTTTGCAGCCGATGAGATAATACAATTGTTAAATATCAGCCCATTTATCTACCTTGGCATTATTTCAGTAGACCACTAATTGTTAAATTGCCATGTTTGGAGTACAAATTCAGTATTGCTTCTCATACCAAATGTTTTTTTTAGCCAAAACTGTGCAATAAAATTCACATTTGCATCCTTGGTGTTTTTCACAGTTACAGAATCAGAGTGAGTTGCGTGCTCCTACGGCTGAGAAGGCCGCTTTCTTCTTGGATGCTGCCATTGCTGCACGTTACAGCAGTAAACCAGACTACGACGAAGAGGAGCACCGTAACTCTCACATGCTCTTCACCCTACACGTCTACCAGTATCGAATGGAAAAGACCGGCAAGGGTGGAAGTGAGTATCATTATAGGTTAGACAGAGTTTAAGTAGAAACTCAATATGAACTAGAGCAGAGGTTCTCAACTGGTTTTCGGTCCGTGACCTATTTTTTTAGGTTCCAAAATGTTGGCTATTGCTGGTTAACCTTGTTAAAATACTTTTATGATGGACACCAGTATCTTCAGCTGTACTAGTCTTATCAGCAGTATCTGCTCTCTTCCACGGTTGATTTCGAACTTTCTCATTATACTTCCAAATGTTGCCTGTGTGGTTTATAAATAGTCTGCTGCTGATAATCTTTGAGAGGGGTGTGATAACAGACAAAGAAACTGCCATTGTTAATGTGAGATGTACAATCTGATCTAAAAGCTGTCAAGCTAAAACTAGCTATTTCTGGAGAACAGTGCTAATTTCTCTTATCACAAAATACATTTCTGTTTGGCACAAGCGAGTCCTGCCTTTTTCTAAGAGTGAATAGAAAGTAAAACCAGATGTGTTAGCATGGGCTTTTAGGTTATTTGAGAAACTTGAATTACCTCCAAAATGAGCTAGTGTAAGCAGTGTCATGAAATCCACTCAGGATGTTTCCATGGCTAAGGTTAACTTACATAATAGAAACACAGAGAGATAGATATAATGTCACCATTTGAAATATAAGTTCATTAACCTCAGTGTTTTCACTAATAAGTTCCATTTCTCTTTATTAGTCTACCGTTAGGTTACAATAATACTTCATAATGGAATTAGATGCTCATCATGAGGTTTTCGACAGTTTCTTTACATTCTATTGCTTTACCATTTTCTTTGCAAGATTTATACTTTCTTACTTAAACTAAGTAGCTATTTAAATATTTAACTTAGTCAGAGGCACTACCTGTACTGTTACAAAACATACTGTATAATGCAGTGTCAAAATTGTATTTTCAAATCATATTTCACACACACACACACACACACACACACACACACACACACACACACACACACACACACACACACACACACACACACACACACACACACACACACACACACACACACACACACATATATGGAATTTTTACCTTTATGAGGGCATATTTTATATATACTACCATGCATGTATTTTACCAACAAATACATTAAAAATATTAATGTTATGAAACATTATTAATTTAAAATAACTCTTTTCTATTTGAATTTATTTAAAATGTAATTTATTCCTGTGATGCAAAGCTGCAACATTATTAGCAAACCCGTTGATTATGCCTTTTTTAGGATTTAAAGGAACAGCATTTATTTGAAATAGAAATCTTTTATATTGTTATAAATGTTAAACATTATAAAAGTGTCCTTGTTGAACAAAAGTATTCAAGTATTAAAAAAAAGTCTTACTAATGGTAGTGTAACATGTTACTACAGCTGAGTCATTTCAAATTGTCACTATGGTGCCTGAAGTATATAGTATATCATATGTTAGTTAAGAGAATGTTGAATAAAGAAAATGTTAGAAACTCCTATTAGAGTTTAGTTGTAAAATCTGACTCTCTGGCTCTTTTGCTTAGTGTCGGGAGGCAGGAGCCGACTGCACCTCATCGATCTAGGCAGCTGTGTTAAGGTTTTGAGCAAGACCCGTGACAGCACTACAGGACTCTGCCTCTCTCTGTCCGCTCTGGGCAATGTCATCTTAGCTTTAGTCAATGGCAGCAAGCACATCCCTTACAAGTAAGACTTTTACCTTTCACTTGACTCATCATATGATTTCAGTCAAAAACTCATTGGGTTAGACTTTTCAGTCTCATACAAATATGTTGTAACCACAACGTCAAGATTACGATTATACTGTTCTGGGTGAAGTCATTCACCAGTCGCTAAACTCATTAAAGATGCAACATGTTTAGCCTTCATATCTCCGCTTCATGCCATTAATTCTTCTCAAACACACCTCATATGAATAATATATATACAAACTGACATTTTCCAGCCTTTGATGTTAGCAATTATTTGTGGATTCTAATGCTACGTTGAATCTGCAGAGAGAATGTAACCTTTATCGCTCCTCAGGGTAATAGCTAAGTGAATTAGCTTGTGCCAGGCAGCTATAGAGACAGATGCAGTTTCACATTCGCTGGGATTCATTGAACGTTCTTAACACAGACCATTTCTCTGCAACTGCTGTTTTATTTCTTTTAGCAGCATGTTAATTTGAGTTAAACAGACAACTTTGAGAAGGTGCAGTGTATCATCTAGCAGCATTTTTCCCAAAATTTGCAGCGCTTCCATTTAACTCCCTCAAGGCACGTTTGCATTTTTATGCCATGGCTCCCTAATTTAATCATGGCGAATTTACATTGCAGAGCATCATGGGGTTTAAGGCTGGATACGCAACAGCTCTTGAGAGCTGAGATATAATTAGGATTTACAGCCTTTTAGGAGGAATGCAACATTTGCACAAGATAAATTGAATTAACATGCATCATAAATGAATATAAATCTACACAAGTCACTAATTTTAGATTTAATTAGTGCTAAATAATATTTTAGTTGCTTTTTATCTCTCTAATTGGATGACTTAACCTCTCTGATTTAATGCCAAATGTAGAATATTGTTCAGAATTATTATCAATTCATTGTTAATTATCGATTTTACACTAGAATGCATTGTCCAGTTTGTGGCATAATATTAGTAGCAATAACCAGAAACCATTCACATGTGTTGTGTAATAAGTGTTTACATATTTTGCCAAGGGGTGAATGTTATTTAATGGGATATCTCAGATAACTTTCTTTTTGTTACATCATGGCTAGTAAATTGTGCTTGTATAATTTGTGCTTAGTTTTCATGTGATAACTGTTAATGACCACTTAAGATTGACTACACACTTCACTAACCATTTTTAAGAACATCATCCGACATTAAACAAATTAGAAAAGATTATCACTGTAATCACATTAATGTACACTCTGTTGTATTCTGTGACAATGTTTTGCTTTATAGTATAGGTCATTGATTTCTGAGAACTTACATGTGAATATTGTAATACTAGCTGACTCATCCTTGAAAAGCAGCTTTATATGTCACCTCTAATGGTTGCCATGGGGAAGGCAGACAGAACAGGAAATGCCAATTCCAGTCTCTCTTTCTCTGTAAAAAGAGACTGTCTGGCAGCCAAGGTTTTTTGAATCAGGGTCAGCAAATAAAATGCCCAAAAGGGTCTATCCATTCTTATCATTAAAGATTGTTACATTACACGATTAGACTGATTGCTAGAAGTGGCCCAGGTATTCATTGAAAAGGAGTTATTTCCACAAAGCCTTGATTTTTGAATGCATCCATTTTCCAAATACATTTTATTCTGAAAAGGTTAACTCATTTTACAAATCATGTTGCTTCACTTTTAATCATTTGGTTACACAACTATCATTTTGCCAATTTATGCTCTTCCATTTTTTGTTTGCAGAGATAGTAAGCTAACAATGCTGTTACGTGAGTCCCTGGGAAACATGAATTGTCGCACCACTATGATAGCCCACATTTCCTCGTCACCCAGCAATTTCTCAGAGACACTCTCTACCCTTCAAATCGCCTCTCGTGTTCTTAGGCTGAAGAAGAAGAAGGCTAAAGTAAGCGTGGTATGATACTCTCCTTCATTTTATTGAACTTTCTTTTAGCATAGAATGATTCACCATTGTATTTTATGTTTATTACTTTAAAATGCAGTTTTTTATTTTTGTTTTGTAGCAATACACATCCAGTTCCTCTGGTGGTGAGAGCTCATGTGAGGAAGGAAGAATGCGTCGTCCAACACAGCTGAGAACCATCCATTCTAGAAATGTTGTTGATTCAGAGATGCCCCTGCTACACCTCTCCAGTGACCCTGAAGAGTATTCCAGCAGCGAACAGTCATGTGACACAGTTATCTATGTAGGTCCAAATGGCTCAGCCCTCTCAGACAAAGAGCTAACAGACAACGAAGGTCCTCCAGAGTTTGTTCCTATAATCCCATCTCTACATAAAAATAAATCAGATCTTGGTAAGGCTTCTTTGACATCACAACCATCTCAACAGGTTGTAGCCCCACTAGTTCAAGCCTCACAGTCTGTCCAACCCTTGCAGACCATTAATCCGCAGCCACTCCCACCTTTGCCAGAGGAAGGTGCTGAGCCAGGTAAAAAGGAAAAAGACTGCCTTAAGTGCAACACTTTTGCAGAGCTCCAAGAGAGGCTGGACTGCATTGATGGAAGAGAAGAGGTTACGACATTCCCTTTTGAAGAAGTCCCTGCCAACAGAGCTGCCAAATTTGAGCCTGGCCATGGTCAAGTCGTTAAAGGGGGTCAGCAATCCAGTTCTCCCAAGAGGATCTCTGACCAGCAGCTGGAGGAGATCCGTGAGGTGGTTGAAGAAGCAGAGATCGCTCAGTCAATAATTGAAATCTTGACACAGTCTTCAACAGGCAGTTGTGGACTCTCCAGCAGCAGAAGTGTGACTGGCAGCAGCGGTATTGGGCAACTAACTCCTCTTCACAGAGCTAAGAGCTCCAGTTTACATGACAGCAAAGAATCCATCAGTGGTGGAAGCAGCAGTGAGAGTAAACCTCGTCCTATGGGCTCCCCACGGTTGGGCATTGCCAGTCTTACTAAAACCTCAGAGTACAAACCACCATCCTCTCCCTCTCAACGCTGCAAAGTGTACACCCAGAAAGGAATAATGCCTGGCACACCACCTCACTTCTCACATAATCTTAATAAAGACTCTAGAAAATCATCTACAGAGTCTTTGCTTAATCCTGAGTCTAGAACCTCTGCGGTGGGGATGAGCCCACAGGTCCTAAACAGATCTTCATCATCCAATAGCCTTGGATCAGCTGAGACACTGTGTGATGATGCTCCCCAGCTGCCTTTGGACAGTAAGAAAAATGTGAAGGACACCACAGCCACAGTTACGCTGGACCATCCTTTGGAACCCAGTGGAGAGGATGAGCTGGTGTTTACCCTTGTGGAAAAGCTGACAATTAGTGGGGTGATGAAAAATGGCAGACCAACCAGTATTATCAGCTTTAACAGTGACTGCTCGGTGCAGGCTATGACATCGGGTTCAAGACCTGTTAGTATAATTAGCAGCATGAGTGAAGACCTAGAACATTACACCACAGCTCCCTGCACTACCACCGCCACTATCTCACAAGTCAACATTGCTAAATTCCTGCCTCTCCGCAAGATAGAAGGGGATGCCCAAGCTAGTCATCGTTCCTCAATCAGCTCATGGCTGAGTGAAATGAGTGCTGGCAGTGATGGCGACCAGTCATGCCATAGTTTTGTTGCCCAACAGTGCTTTGGACAAGGTGAGGCAATAGCCGAAGACAGGCTTTTAGAAATTCAAGAAGAAGGTGATATAGACCCCGAGTCAAATGACCAAAAGAACTCAGACAAAGAGAGTGATTCCAATAAAACCGAAGTGAATGATAAAAACACAGCTAAACACAAACTAGACAAGCTGTCCTCAACCTCAAGTGGCTATGTTCCTTTTAAGACCAATATCACAACTCACCCATGTGCTGCTGTTAATCCAATAGTTGTGCAGGACTTACAAACAAAAACCCCTCTAGTCAAAGATCCCAAATCACCACCTGTTCCAATCTCAAGTGAGATCAATTTTGATGACCCTTGGATGAAAAGGGAGGGATGTGAAGAGACCAAGCCTTTGGAGATGGTCTGTGATATAAAGTCAGAGAAGAGAACATCTGAATCTGTAAAAAGGAAGTGGCAAGTTGACAAGCACAGCTCAAGTGAAGCAGCATGTTCCCTTGATTCAATGAACCGGGTGGTGGATGGCTGCGAGATGGTCTTCAATGCATCTGAAAGCATAATTCAAGTGTACTCTGCAGACATCCTCAGGACGGGTAGTCTCCCTCGTGCATGGCATCGCTTGAATAAGCAGGACGATCTGGAAGACCCTACATATCGTTACATGAGTGGAGAGTATAAAAGCCTTGGGGTTACCACTTCCACTCCCTGCAGTCCAAGAGCCACACTCGAAAGAAGAAGTTCAGCAGGGAGGCAAGGCATCTTTGCTCGTCAGAAAGGAATCCCACCATTGCCACCTGTAAGGAAGTCTAGCCTTGACCAGAGGAATCGAGCAAGTCCACAGCATAGTCCAGGAAATTCTCAGACACTAAACCAGCATCTGTCTTTCCTTGGCAGCACACCTGAAGACTTGGCCGGTAAACACAAAGGACCAAATGTAGAGAGCAGCAGACTCTTCAGTGCCAAACTTGAGCAGTTAGCAAACAGAACCAATTCCTTAGGGAGGTCTCATGAGGCACATTATGACTGTCATTCCTTAGAGAAGGCTGAGAGTTTGACCTCTCTAGGCTCTAAAGGAGGAGTTACAAAAGACAGTACAATGCCAAGGACAGGTAGGAGCATCACCCGTGGTTTGCTCTCATCACCTACCAATGGACCAAATGGTAATAATAATGCCACACAATTACCCAAAGCAAGTCAATCCAAAATCTCTGCAGTTAGCAAACTCCTTATGGCAAGTCCCAAAGCTCGAAGCTTATCAACCTCTTGCACAAAGACCCTAAGTTTCTCCACCAAGTCCCTCCCGCAGTCAGTAAACCGAAGCTCAAGTTTGCCTCCCAATGGAAAGAACCAGAACCAAAATTCATGGTCAACTCAGTCCTTAAGTCGCAGCAGGGGGACAGGGTTAGCATCTAAGCTACCTTTAAGAGCAGTGAATGGACGAATCTCTGAGCTCCTTCAAGGTAGCGCTAGCTCTCGTGCTGCCCAAGGACGAGGGGCTTCAGACACTGAGGAGAGAGGAGCAGCAGTCCAAGGAGAGGAAAGGCCGGTGGTCCATACTTTGCCCTCACCTTACAGTAAGATCACCGCCCCAAGAAGGCCTCACCGTTGCAGTAGCGGACATGCCAGTGACAACAGCAGTGTTCTAAGCGGAGAGCTTCCTCCAGCCATGGGAAAGACTGCTTTGTTCTACCACAGTTGCGGCAGCAGTGGCTATGAGAGTATGATACGAGACAGTGAGGCCACAGGAAGCACATCATCTGCTCAGGACTCGATGAGTGAAAACAGCAGCTCTGTCAGTGGTCGCAGGAGCCTTAAGAATTCAAAGAAAAGAAGTAATACAGGTAAGCAAATATCAGATGCCAAAAACGATGCTTCTTTTTGCTTAAAATCCATAATCCAACATAAAAAAGTATTTTACCACTTTTTGTTGTGTAATACAGTGGAAAATGTCAACATACTCCTGTCAGCTTGGTTAATGTACACAATGGGGAAAATAATTATTTGATCCCCTGCTGATTTTGTAAGTTTGACCTCTTACAAAGAAATGGTCTATACTTTTTATGGTAGGTTTATTTTAACGGACATAGACAGAATATAAACCAAAGAATCCAGAAAAAAAAACATTATATGAAGGTTATAAATTGATTTGCATTTCAGTGTGTCAAATAAGTATTTGATCCCCAAGCAAAACATGACTTAGTACTTGGTGGAGAAACCCTTATTGGCAAGCACAGAGGTAAGATGTTTCTTGTAGTTGGTCATCAGGTTTGCACACATGTCAGGAGGGATTTTGGTCCACTCCTCTTTATAGATTCTCTCTAAATCTTTAAGGTTTTTTGGGCTGTCACTTGGCAATTAAAAGTTTCAGCTCCCTCCACAGATTTTCTATAGGATTACAGTCTGCAGACTGGCTAGGCCACTCCATGACCTTAATGTGCTTCTTTTTGAGCCACTCCTTTGTTGCCTTGGCGGTATTTTGGGTCATTGTCATGCTGGAAGACCCATTCACAACCCATCTTCAGTGTTCTGACTGAGGGAAGGAAGTTCTCATTCAAGATTTTACGGTACATAGCCCTGTTCATCAGCCCCTCAATGCGTTGAAGTCGTCCTGTACCCTTAGCAGAGGGTCTTCTAGCTCATCCCAGCCTTGTGTAGGTCTACAGTCTTGTCCCTGACGTCCTTTGACAGCTTTTTTGGTCTTGCCCATGGTGATGGAGAGGTTGGAATGGAAGATACAGATTCTGTGGACAGGTGTCTTTTATACACATAATAAGCTGACATTAGGAGTACTTTCTTAAAGTGACAGGACTAATCTGTGTTCTACACGGCACATAACTAATCTGTGGGAGCAAGAATTCTTGCTGGTTGGTAGGGGATCAAATACTTATTTGACTCACTGAAATGCAAATCAGTTTTTAACCTTTATATAAACTGTTTTGTTCTGGATTGATATTCTGACTCTATCCATTAAAATAAACCTACCATAAAAATTATAGACCCTTCATTTCCTTGTAAGTGGGCAAACTTACAAAATCAGCAGGGGATCAAATAAATATTTTCCCCACTGTATATAATTCTTAATACACAAAACAAATGTCTTTGTGTGCGTCATATACAAATTACACATACATGTGGCATATGTTATTAATATGTCATAGAGTTTTAATATGAATTTTACACATGAAAAATTAAATATATGTAAAATATGTTGGAAATATAAATATAATATACCTATATTTATTTGTTTGTTTATTTATTTATTTTATTTTATTCTATGTGTGTAGTCTGCTTCTCAAGTCTGGCAAATGTATTTAATGGCTCATCGTGGAATCCATCTTTCTGCATTACAACAATTCAAAGATCTCAGTACAGTTAATGTAATCCCTAATGAATTGTGCTCAAGAAAATTTATTGTACTACAAAGCTTTCAGGACTCATTCCAGATTATAGTTGGAAGAAACAAAACTTTTTAAACAGCTCTGCTCCCCTCTACATGCTTGGATGATCTGTTATGATACTGACTGATAGCAGTTGCCAAACTTAGCTGTGGGTGGTCTTTCAATATTTAGTGCTGCATAAATTCCAGAATACACACCTCTTCTCTCATTTCCTCAGGCTAAGAATTTTACTCTATTTCTTGCCACCACAAACCTTTGCATGGTGAGAAAACTGAAAATGTAAATCATTTCTCAGACACAAAAGCTAGACCAGTACACGTTGAACCGCAAAGAAAAGTAGTATAGTAATTATGTTGTGAATACCTTATTTGAAAAGGCCTTTGCAAGGATATAAAAGCACAACCACAGTTAAAATTTACATCAACTGCCAACCGCCAACGTTCTTCTGAACTCAGAGCACTGTCTCTCCGAGGCAATGAGGGAAGACTGAAAAGTTGACCTTTTCGGTGCTGTTTTCAGACCAAATGACTAGCTGAAACACATTAATATGACCTTGTTCCTTGGTTCCAAATCAGATAACTTATCATCAGACCTGGAACTGTCAATTTCTTTGCAAATAGGGGAACTACTTCTGGCAAATTCCTTATTGTAGACTTGGTTCCTCCAGACTGTTCAGATAAGATACTGTCCTGCTATTATCTCAGTGCTCTTTTTCATTACACGGCTGCATCGAATTGGTAGGAGTGCGGCTCTGTGTAGGTTAAGCTTTGGCTCAGCACTGTAGCACACTTTGACACTTTTTTTTGTCTTTTCACTTGGTTTAATTATAAAACAACTCAAGATTGATAAAATGTGTTTACATAATGCTCATCACATGGTATTGTTTCATCCCTAGGGTCCCAGAGACGCCGTCTAATCCCTAACCTTACCTTAGACACCACTTCTCCCGTGAGAAAGCCGGTCATCAGTCCAGGAGTACGCTGGGTGGATGGTCCCCTCCGGCCAACACAGAGGGGTTTAGTTGAACCTTTCGAGATTAAGGTTTATGAGATTGATGATGTTGAACGTCTACAGAGGAGGCGGACCGTAGGCAATAAGGTAAGTGTTTTTACAGCAGTTCTTGTCAGTGGTTTAGAAAGATGTATCGCTTATTGTTGTTGTGCCCTCAGGAAGTGGTATACTTTAGTGCCAAACTGAAGATCTTAGAGCATCGGCAACAGAGAATCTCAGAGGTGCGGGCCAAGTACGATTGGCTGAAGAAGGAACTAGAGCAAACCAAACAACATCTGATGCTGGAGCCAGAGAAATGGACCACTGAATGTAAGTCATTTGCACACTTTGGGTTGATATCAATGGTACTATTTCTAGTCCAAGAAATTATCATATATGAACAAAATAAAATACATGGCAAAATTCACTAAATAGCTATGCAAACTGCAGGCATTGTAAAATATTTTTCAAGACAAAAGTATGAGTTTGGTGGGTTTAACTTCTGTCAGTTAACATCCGTTTCCTTCATTTTTGCAGTTGACCTTCAGCAGACGTTTGAAGTGGACTCTCTGGAGTACTTAGAAGCTCTGGAGTTTGTCACGGAACGACTGGAGAATCGGGTCAACTTCTGCAAAGCTCATCTGATGATGATCACATGCTTTGACATCTCCTGCCGGCGACGGTAAAAGATTCGCCAAGTATTATGGACAGTTGGAAGTGGAAAAGGCTCAGCAGGGTGTATGTGAGCAAGTTACAAAGTTCATCACTACAGTGATGGCTGAAATGATTGGGAAAATATAAAGGCTTAATATTTTTTCTAAAATGGATTTTGGTGGGGAACAGAAAACGCTGGACTTGGAGAGTTGACGAAAAGAAAAAAAACATTGTCCCACAAAGATGGATGAGCACTTTGGAACATTGGAGTCGTTGTTTGCGAAAATGGCTTGCTCGCTTGCTGTGAACAAAATAAATATATTGCCATATAAAAGAACAAATCGTTAAAGAAAATGAATGAAAACAGAACAAAAAGGACGACAAGTGCCTTGTGAACACTTCAATATCTTGGAAATCTATGGACAAAAATTCATATTTGTGTACAGATGGTGCTAGCTTAAAAAAAACATGCATACAAAAAAAAAAAGTTTAAAAAGTGACAAGAAAAAGAAAACACTGCTTGTTAAATTATGTGTTTAATCTCTGTCTCGGTATTTGTATTGTTATACACTAGTCACATTCAACATGAACTGTTACGTGTGTTTTATATTATTTTTTTGTATTCTTGGACACACTGAGACCACATAGAGCATTTCATATTCATGGAATAGCACAGCAGGACATCTCGAAGAATGGTTCTGGCATTGGCTCATTGATTTTTCACATCCCCTGCGGTTATGTTGGCATTTTCAGCAGTGTGACGCCTCGGGCTGGGCCACTCCAACGTGTCACGGTTGAGCGGCGAGAAGAATCCTCAGTCTGGCAGGACCAACAAGGATCTTTAATATCAATAATGCATCCCAACTTCTTGGGCATTTTTAAAACAACACTTCACAGTATAATTTTGTTCGTCAAATACAACTTTTGTCGAAATCGTCGAATTTAGTAAGTTGCATTGCATTCCAGATCATATTGGTGCATATGTCTGCTCATTGGCCTTCCCTCTATGTGGTCTCATTGTACGTGTGCTGACACTTTGGTATAAATCTGTTTATATATACAGTATATATATGGTGCTTGAGACAGTTTCAGCTCTAAACGTTTATAGATGAGTATATAGCCTGTTTCTGGTACTAGCTAAAGACTTCATATGCTTTTCCATTCCCGCTTCACTCCTCTTCCCTGCCCTGACCCTCGCCAAAGCAAAGGGGAGCGACATTCCTGCTGCCCTTTTGACCTTTTGGCATTGTAATGAATGAAGGATATTATTTATTTTTTACCTCAGGAGGCCTGTATGACAGAGATGCTTATATTCTATAATTTATTTAGCCTGCAAAGCACTATGCATTAAAATTGTACAGTAGCTAAATTCATGCCATATATATATATATATATAAAATATACTTCTATATTTCACTTTTGTTATTCTTTATATATTATATAGGTTTTGTTTTTGCATTTCTTTGAATACGCATCTATTGCCAAATCATGGGAGACGAGAGAACAAACAATTTCCATGTTTATTCACGAAATGTTTTTCATCACAAGCCGTCACATTCTTCAGCATCTGTGAATCGTTCAAGTAATGCATTGTGTGATATGCGGTACAATGTGAAACGAATATCGTCCTTAATGCGCTTTAATGTTCACGAACATGGTTGCGAAACTAAGGCCTTGCCTCCTTTCACTAATTCATGTGAATAGAAAGGAAAGGAGTTTGGCATTACAGATGGATGAGGGAAGATGAGAAAAGTTGTCAACATATTGCTTCATGTTAATACTGCGACAGTCGGCATGATTTCTTGTTCTATGAGGAAAAACACAGCCTGAATGAGAGTTTGATTGACATACGGATTGATGTAAATAAAGGATGTTTCAGAAGCTGCATTCTTTTTAAGATATTATCTCCATCTTAAAGAAGTGCACCTCCAAAAGCTGTTTGCTTTAGTGGCCACAGAGTTATGAGAGGAGAGGAGGTGGAATGAGACGTGTAATCCTGTCTATCTGTATCCTGACACTCATGAGGGTTCAAAAGATTTAGCAACAATAACGCGTTCTGGGAAAATATCCGGAAAAGTGTCATCTGTGCTGATCCAGACCAACTAGACGAACAAAAGACTTTTATTTCCGTGTATATACGTAGGTTTTCAGTAAGAAGCTCAGACACAAACTTTATTAATAATTAGATTTTTTTACACACCACTTGTTGTTTTACCACCAAAATGAAATCACTTCCTGAAGAATGATATTATTAACAAAAGCCAGTTCCTTGTACACTGTAAAAAATGACCGTGAATTTTACGGTAAAAGACTGTAAAAATGCTACAGTAAAAACCTGTTAAATGGTTAACGGTAAATTCCCCTTCTATATACGGTGAAAAACTGTATTGGACATTAATTTTACGGTAGTATACCGTTTTTGGACGTGAAAAGACCATATAATTTACAGTGAATAACCGTAAATTGACATTCCCAGAATTCCCTGCTTTACATTTCAAATTTGATGTTTTTTTTGTTGAAATAACTATGTTTCTTAGTTTTTTCTTATCAGTTTTGTATATTAGGGTTGTGTGTTACACCTAATGTTGTTAAATTAATGTTCAGTTTCATGTGTGTTACTATGATGGTGTTTAGTGTTTGTGTGAATGACACTGTGCACCTTCTATATATGTTATTATTTAAAAGCTGCTTGTGATGAGCTTTGGTTCATCATGTGACTTTCTCATCACCACCTGCATTTGGTGGTTATCAGTGTATTACAAAGATACAAAACAGATTTCAGTACTTCAATAGGTTGGTGTATTAACATTATAACAGTTAATGAAATTATGGTATTTAACTGTAAATTTAAGGTAAAACCTAAAACGTTGCTACTGTATTTTTTTACGGTAAAATTCCGGCAACCACAGCTGCCGGTTCTTTACCGTAAATTTTACGGAATTTTTTTTACAGTATATATTACATTAATACAAAAGAAAGTGATATCGAGGTCATTTCAATTACCAATTAAAACAATATTCATAAGAAAACATTCTGATTAGTGAAACACCTGGACAATTTCTTAATAAAATGCCAGTGTTTTGTGTTAGCATATAAATGGCGACATCTGTTCGAACCAGAGTATTGAAATTATTTAAATGATCCCTCTCGTTCACGTAACTGTTGTGAAAACTTACTAATATGATTTTCAGTTTCAATATTTGATTCAACATGGAAATATTTACTGAAACTAAGGATTGACCCACATTACAAATCAAGTGCTTACTGCAATAACACAATCCAGATGGTAAAAGATGACCATAAAAACATAAAGCAGCTGCTGAAATATGTTTATGAAATCAGAGCGACTGGAACTGTCTTGCCAGAGTAACTCTGATGATTGAAGTTAATGATGAGAAACTGAAGCACAAATCTGAGGTGTGTGTTTGGAGCGGTTTTATGAAGCACAGCAGTTATTGCTGAAAAGGTGTTGCCTTTCACAACAGTTGATTATGTGATAGTCAGAATCACACTAAAGTCAATCACACTAAAGTCATGTATAATCATGTTTAAGGGTCTATGCTTTAAGGGTGCTAATGGATAAAAAAAAATCATTGTTGGTAAGTGAAATACATCTGAAATAGAATAAAATTAAAGTATTAGATGAAAAACCTAAGATTAAAAAAATTAATGTTGCCTTGGGAACTAACTGAATTGTTTAAGTTGAAGCATGAAAAATACTAAAACTAAAACTGGAGAAAATAAAAACTACAAAATTATTAAAACGTAGTAATAGTATTAAAATAGTATTTCAATAATACTAAAATAACACATATTTGAATAATTTTATTAACTCCCAAGTGACCAGAAAACATGAAACGTATAAATGTAAGGATTTACCGAATACTCAATCAGATGCATTTAAATACTAATATATCATCACATATATGTTTATGAATCTAAAATACAGTGACCCAAATCATTCAGACTTAGGACTAGTTGCATTACTGCACATTTGAAAAGTGACACTATTGTTTAGCATTTAAATTTAGCAATAATGTTCCTGTTGCAACCAGTAAAAATACCTAGAAGTAGGACTTTCTTTTGAAAATACGGAGGATAGTAAACTACATTTTAGACTGAGTGTTAAAAGTGAACATCTGTTGAGGGGGCAGCAAGTGGATCTCTGATATTACTGCAAAAAAAAAAAATAAAAAATAAAAAATAAAACAATTGCAAATAAAAAAAGTGGGATTAATTCCACAAAAAAAAAAAGTCCGAAATGGACTGTAAAAGCACAGCGAAGATGTAGATTTTTCCCTCTGGCATTTTTTTCAGTTGAATTCTAAACCAGCTGGTTTGATACACAGTGGCACAAAAGCAGGTGGCAGACACATAGCGTGTTGATTGACAGCCAACATGTCAAAGAATCGGAGGAGAGGAGTATGGGGCCGTGGCGGGACCGCAGTACTCGGTCTCTGTATGATGGCACACATCAGTCTAGACTTGACCCAGCTCAGCCTGGCACTCGCTCAGTTTTCTCCTCACCTCATTAGTCAGGACGTGATCCGTCCCGTGGGGCACCTTCATGATGTCATATGCCTGAGGAGGGAAGCAGCGGGAGGAAGAGAGATGGTTGAGTTAAACGATTGTCATGTGAGGGAAGAAAATTAATTTAAAGGAATGAAACGGGAGCTGCGAGAGTCCAAAGCACTCATTACGTTACCGTGGTATTTGGCTGCTGCACCAAGAGCGTCACGGGTGAAATTTTACTGAAAGAAATGTCATATTAACACACTTCTATAATAATTAAAGGTGGGGTAAGCGATTTCTGGTAGCCAGTGTTGACATTTGAAATCACCAAAACAACCACGCCCCTACCCCAAAAGGGTCTCGCCCCTATTTTGATAGCTCCGCCCCACACATACGTACTCAACCTGCCCAGGCAACAATTAGTTCTGTGAAACAAAGCAAAACCAATGTTACACCGTGTCTACACCGGACGCGAGTGGCGCGGCGCAACAAAATACTATAGAACTCATTATAATCATTGATGCTGTCTACACCATAGATATACGTATATACATATCTATGGTCTACACTGGATGTGGCGCGGCACGGCACGACAAATCCCCGACAGAAAATTGCTGCTGCGTTCTATTTATGACGTATTGACACAAATTTCAAATGATTTTCAACGGTCGCTTTGTCGCGTCCAGTGTACTAGTTATATTATATTATATTATATTATATTATATTATATTATAAAAAAAAAACTATTGGTGCCTTTATCATATTTATGTCACGGTCTTTTTATAAAATCAATAAAGGCTGTGCATCAAGTCTAAGCATCAAGATAATAAAGCATTTCTGCAACAATTTTGTCCTTATTTCTCCATCTGCACATTGTCTGCCTGACTCCGGCTGCCTTTTAAATCACCAAATCTAATCTAACAGCAGCAGACAGACTGTGGAGTCAATGCGGAGACATCCATACCACTGTTTAGACAACAGGGCAGATTCAGACAGCAGGGTAGAATGCAGCCAATGACCATCGAGGGTCTCATTACGGCCCTGATCTCTCTGTAGTCAGCTATAGGGCCAAAGAGCATGTGCTAACAGACCTGTGTGAAGCTCCCCTGAGCCTCCTCCAGTCTGCCCATGTAGTGCTGCAGCTTCCCCACCCGCAGCAGCTCCACCGCTCTGGACGGATGAGGATCACTGTAGTACAGTCTGTGCGAGGAAACAGAAGATTAATTCTATAAATGGTAACAATGTGAGCTTTCAAGTGGCCATCCTTTTTTCTGTTTTGTGGATTAGGTTTTAAAAATCTTGGCTAATGACCAGATGTAGGTTCAAACCCTAGGAAGTGAGTTCCCTTTCAGTGGGGCGGATGACCGACGAATTGGGATCTCGCTTAGAGAGACCAATCTACTTAGAGTGTAAACTAAACGAGCCAATGCACATTGATTGCATTGCATGCGATGACTGCTTCCAGCTGCCGTCGAGTGGGTTGCACACATCAGCCTGCACTACCCCCTGTTTGTGTTGCAGATGGTCATCTCCCCTGTGCGCCTCAGCACGCTAAAAGAGCTTTTTCCCTAAAAGAGCAATTTCGGGTGC